GAGGAACCAGAAGAGGCTGTCAGGAGCCAGCACAGCTTTCTCTGGGCCTGCTTGACCGCTCATTTTGGCTGTTCTCTGCGTGTCTCCCCCCTCTCACCTTCTGCTTCAGCACATAAGTGACTGCTTTTCCTGGCCTCCCACTCAAGAGACTAACAGGGATTGGTCAGGTTTCCCATATTCAGACTCCAGATGCCTGGAGGAGAGAAACTGGCCCAGTATGGATCAGGCAAGTGTTCACCACTGGTTCAGCTGTGGTCTGGGGTATAATATAAGGTGATGTGACCTGCTCAGTGGGTGGTGAGCTAGGAGACACTGATGACTGGCACTTTCACCGTGGAGCTGAGGGGTGTTCTGTCTCCTAGGAGACACATACGAAGGCACCCTCATGGAATGGGCCTAGGGAAGAGAAGGCAGTTGATTTTGGAGGACCTGAGGAGGCTCATTCACAATTTGAAGCTTGCATTGCTTTGTCAGGAGCAGTGGAGACATCGAATGTTTTTCGGTGGATGAGGAATGACTCAAGCTGTGCTGGACGGAGCTTAATGTGGCAGTAGTGTGTGGATGGATGGGATTGAGGAGATGATGAATGATGCAGCTGAAGTCAGAGGGAAAGGCCTTCCCTTCCTGGGATGACCTGGGAGATAGTTCTATGAAGGGGTGGGTGCTGACTCACCTAACCTGTCTGTGGTTTGGCATCTTATATTAGTCTCCTTCCCAGTCCCTCTTCTCCCAGGCTGTGGTTTTCCCATTTTTAGTCCACGCTCCTTTAACTGGGCCTCTTTCCCACCCATGCTGATCTCTAAGGCATTTGAGGAAATCACCTCCAAATGGCAACATCCACTTTGTTAGGCTTGCAGTGTGGGCTGCATTTTAGATGCAGTTGCTCCAGAGACTATGCAGTGCTGAGCAGTATATATGTTTTGGGTCTTTTCCATATCTTGCTTCCTCCTTAAACAGATGTCAATGCCAATCATGTCATCCCGAGGAGACACGGAGAGTGTCCGCCGCTGCCTGGCTCACAGCCTCTTCATGAGCACCGCTGAGCTTCAGCCAGACGGTACTTATGCCACTACAGACACCCACCAGCCAGTGGCCATCCACCCCTCGTCCGTCCTCTTCCACTGCAAGCCAG